ATACTTTTGCTGGTGTGGACCGACAATCTCAAATTCTGGTGTGCAGGTCGCGGTAGTGTATGATGTTCGTTGGGATGAGAGAAACAAAACCTTGGAAATTGATCTAAGTGCTGAAGGTTCTAAATGCTGAAGGTGCTGGATATCTGCTCCATGGACTGGAGCACAACAACATCTCCCAGAGGGACAGGGTGCCTTCGGCCCCCTTCACAAGGTGCCTGCGGCACCCTGAGTCAGTGCGGGTCGGCCCGAACCTTAAACTTATTTTTTTAAAAGTGGATATGGGTGTGGCGCCTGTCAACGTACGAAAGATCTGATCATTACGGTCATACCAGCCCCTTTACTGATGATCCCGGTTTCGTCAGACGTGTTCATAGGTCATCTTTTGCCTTTGGCCACTCCACGACCTTTCATACACTTTGCCTTTGCTCTCTGCCAGTAGCCACGCCAAAAGCAGGAAGTTGCATGTTGGTTCAAATATCTCAGCAAGCACCCGCACTTGAGAAAGGGGGCTGTCTTTTCCATCTTTGAGCCAGTCCGACCAGTTAAATAAGTCGTCGGCTTGTGATGTCTTTTGTTTCTATCGGCATGTATTGCGCATCTGCGTCAGACCACAATCACTCGTTGGACAGATATATCCATGTTTCCGGTGTGGAAGGGGATAGTTGACAAATATATTGGCCGCAGCAGTATCATGTCTCATTGTATGTCTACCTCTCGTGGTGAAACCAGCAGTCATTGGATCGGTATCATTCATTAACCCCAACCTGCTGTGAAGTTGCTGGCGATTACTATGCCATCGTTTCGTCGTCATATGGGCCCACCCCAACCCGTATTTATCCCTCAGATGTCGCTGTATTAGTGTGTGAAAAGTGCATGATATCCTTGGTGATGGCTTTCACAATTCAGAAGGTCGTCATCATTTCCACTGTTGATGAATCCTTCAGGCTACTGCCACTGGCTGTTAAGTGCTTGTCGTCGACTGCTCGCATAACGTCTGCACCTGGCTGCCGTCCCTACCATTTCCGTTCAGCAATCAGGGAGACCCATACTTCGATAATGTGTAGTAGAGGGGACCTAATTACGCATCGAAGGAACCACAATGAAGACGGGGTTCCAGTACATGCTTCCTCCGCAATGATGCTGTCGTCCACGGTCGAGCTATTTACCCATCGGGACGGTAATATCCCCGTTGCCTTCTGAATCGTCGTATATGTTATGATCGAGCGTTCTTTTCTCTTCAACTCCCTCTTATCGTTATCCTTTGTCGCAGTTTGATACCCACCTCCCACCCCGGTTGACCGAAAACAAGATTGATGTCTTCCGCGTCCTAGATGTCGTAGACCAATCTCAAATCGCAACGAGGGAAACTTCAAATCACTTGCCATCATTCTTCATGATGCACTAATCTTGCTTTGTCCCGTGGGCAGCGTGCTGTAATACACATCGCGTAATGACTTGCTGTGGACAAGCCTTTGTCTTAATGTGTTCATTCAGCACTCATCTTGACTTGGAAGCCGAGGGACATCTTCTCTTTCTTGGTTTGAAACATCTCGACGCAGATCGGCTGTCGCAAGGCTTGGATCGTTTCGAGAATGACCGCGTTTTGCTTCTTGATGTGGTGAAGTATGGCCGGCTCGCGCGATGAAAGAGATCGGATCACCGTTCCGATCCTCGTACTAGCTCTTTTGTTTCAATATGTTCCTCAACATTATCATGACGAGCTGATGGGTAGAAACATTCTCGTGCCGTAGTGGCTGTCATATATTGCCAACTTCTCCCAATTCACATATTTTCCAATGGACACGCTGTACTTCCATTCCATTCATGGAGCATGTCATATCTTGCCCTCATAAGTTGATTGCTGTGACATTCAGTACAGCAAATTCCAAGTCGCCGTGCTTCATTCATCCTCAGGCTTGGGCCAAGATACCCCTCTCCATTGTACTGGTCGCCTTTTTCTGCGTCACATGTTGTCCAACTCCCTTCTGCTTTGGTGGTCAATGAGACATCTGCCTTACTTGAAAGTGATGCGACTGAAGCAACGGTCAACTGCTTTACTCCTAGTCCACAGTGTTCATTTGTACTCGTCCCACCGTCCCTACATATCCAAAGAGATATTAAGTTTTTAAGGTTCGGGCCGACCCGTCATGACTCAGGGTGCCGAAGGCAGCCTGTCTGGGGGCCGAAGGCCACCTGTGCTAGTAATTCTTTTGGTATGTAGTATCAATCTAGTACTTTAGGAGCTTCTGTTGTCTTAACTCAAGCCACTTTTAGGCTGTTCATTCTTTTGGTATAGTTAGGGTCAGGGGCTAAGATTGCGCAGTATCACAACCTAAGTTGCTAGTACGATGTGAAGAGCATTGCTATGGTCGCGGATTCGTCAAGCGAAGGACTTAATAAAGCATTGATTGTACTAATACTCTGTTGGACTCCATCTATCCTATGCTGTAGGTCTTTTTCTAGCGACTTAGATTTTTATATTGTGGCGACCATGTTACTGGAGAATTGAAAATGCTCCAATTTTGTAATGTTATTCTCTTGGATGTTTCGAATAGTCGCGCGAATACTGTTATAAGTTTGAAAGATCTGCAAACTGTGAGTTGCATGCTGGGATTGCGAAACTGTCTAAGGCAGCATTGAAATCTTACATGCAAAGAACGCCGTTTTGACCTCGAAAAACCCTGAAATGACACTCTTTACACCTTCCGTCCGTAATGTCTCCTAAGAGCAAGAACATGTCATCTCCGCACTTGAAGATGGTTGAGCGGATTTCTCTCCTGCCGAAGTTCCATGTGCTGCTTGTCCTTGTGTCTGCGTCTGGTCAGGCTGGGCGGTCGCTTGTCTTTGTGTCTATGGCTGACCCTTTGCGCAGCGTTGGCTTCCTGCGGTACTCCCAGCCACCTTATACAGGAAGAAGTCAGCGAGATTTCCCTTCAATTCGTCCATTTGACCAATTATTTCCTCATATACACCCCGGCAACGTCCACAAGGCCCTTTGGACGCGTTGTTCAGCCTTTGTCGGATCTTGAGAGGGTTGAAGAGCTAAATGTGGGAAACCTGACCTACGTCTTAGCCACAAATCACAATACGAAGGCGTCCTTGTCAGGCGCTTTAGAGAATTTAGCTGCGATTGAGAACAGGCGCAACTACTTCGGTAAATTGCTTCGGATCGTTGCATATGGTTTTGCGAGCGCTTCCGTGGGTCCTATGGCTTTTGGTCCCATAACCCGGTAGCACGTTTCTTTGGCGCACTGGTTGGACTTATTATAATAAAATGGGAGTCTAAGAATCACTTTTGGGTAACAACGATGAAAGAATTGTCAGCAGTATCTCTGTCCTCATTTTGGCTCGCTGGTTCGGATCGGTCAATGATGGAAATTCATTTTGCTTTCCAGCGCTGGCGTAGTCTGCGGTCGCCCTTGTTCTTCCCGGCTATATCCTGCTCTGCGGAATACTAGGATTGTGTTCTCCGAACCCCCAGTCGGCCGCTGCTTTAGTGTTCAGTCCTTTTTTCAAAAATCTACTGCGGATGTTCGGTATGACCGTCGGTACGACTGTTTATGGATCCACCAAACTATGCGTTACTTCGGCGACCACTTGCGGGCACCCCTGGCCAGTCTCGGAACAGTGATTATGCGTGGTTCCGTTCACGTCTGGTTTGAATGTAGCCAGCCACGGAAGATGGCAAGGGATGCCGCAAATGATTATTCTCGGGGTTTCAGGTTTTATCGTGACCCACTGCCTGCCACTGAATATCTCATCGAATGTGCAGATCCCCAAGCGATAGCTGTAGTTGTCATTAGAACTGTCGCTAATTGGCCTTTTTGTATAATTAGCCCGCCGTTTTACTGCTACTAGCCGTGTTTACTCTAGTACCTTCCGGCTTGGCGGCTTCAGGATCTCTTGCTATGGGAATTACGTCTGCCAACGTTATGAATACGCGTATTGCATTACTCTCTGGACACCTACAGCGCGGACTTGGTAAGGGCCGGAAGTTGGGACCACCCTTGTAAAACAGCTACATGAAATCCACTTCCATATTGAATGTAAACGATTCCGCCCAGAATCCCTCGATTCTACCTTCCTTCTAAGTTGTACTTTTCTAAGATGTTGTGAACTTTTCCTCTCTGGATATTCGTCGCTAGAGCCTCTTGAAATTCTTCAAGTGCGAGGAAGACCTTTGCCCCATCTACCACCGCTGTCTCGCAGATTTACTCAATATTAATATATCGCCCAATACCACGCCCAATATCAATGGCTTCAAAATATTTTGAGTTTAAGGTTCGGGCCGACCCGCCCGCGAGACTTCGAAGGGTGCCGAAGGCGCCCTGTCTTCTGCAACCATGGTCACCACTTGTTCTGCTTCATAGGGAGTACCATGGGGAGATCGCAAGGGGCAGTATTTCATACAGAATGGAAGGAGATGTTTGGGGTAGCTTAAGCCCTATATCGCTGCCTATTATCGATTCACACGAAACATCTTGTCCCTAGCTGACAACTTTAGTGCACGGACTCGTGACATCGTGCTGACAAATTGAGAGAGCCCCTATCCTTTTCGAGATTGACAATTTAATAAGCAGTAACCTGGCCTTCTCACCGTCACGAATTGATCCTACACTCTGACAACCCTTCATGCCATACATAGTCGAGACTCGTATATTTGTGGACAAATACACCACAGCCTGCCTAGCCTCAACAAAGGTGGTCGAGAAGAATATCACTTATGTAGCAACTAAATTTTCGGAAACCTTGATCATTTCCAACTGCCCATGTGCCCAGAAGACGTTGACTGTCAATGTCCAGCAACGAAATAATGTTTAATAGATAATATACCTATCATTCTTGCTATGTCTACCCAAAGTGTAGTACGGCGGCACTTTATCAAGAACGTTAATTGTATTTACTATGATAGCTTTCGCCAGAGTCAAGTGTCCCTCGCTCATAAAATGCTAGATCTTATGATGTTCCTACTCGTGCTTTTTATTGCCGTGATCGGTGAACTACAAGCCATTGCTTCCATTAGCATTGGCGCCAATTTTTCCTTGGCAGGAATTTTCAATAGGCTCATCGTCTGGGCTACTTACAAGAGCCTTGTCGTCAAATCTCATTCCCTGCCCTAATTCACAACCTCTACCCGACAAGCATCACTAAAATCATGAAAAGTATTGTCGTCTAGATCAGCCTTGTTGTCCCGATCCCTCACAGGAGCCTCGTCCGCAATCTTGATTAATTCTACCAATTTGTCCCAACAAGGATCATTGACCAGATTGTCACAAGCTTCATCTTGTACCTCTTTTTCGACTCGGATTAACTCAACGACCTCATTATTTGCATGAATGTCTTCGCGTTCTTTTGCGGGGTTCATCATCATTTGCATGAATGTCTTTCGTGTTCTTTCGCGGGGCAGGAAGGATCAATTGTCCCGACAACCTCATGCACATGATCCTGGCGCCGGATATTCTCCACCACCTTCATCCATACCAATCGGAAATGCCTCAAACAAAACCCTAAGGACATCGACGCAGGCACAACTAAGAACCATTCCTTCGTTGTTTCTGTCAATTTTGACCTCGAAATGTCTACTTCGATACGTATCGCCAATGTCCTGAGACTAAAGGGAGGCATTTCAACGTTCATTGTCGATGGCACTCTCCTGCCAGCTTCGATGCATACGCATCTCTAAGAAGAAGATGACGCAGTTGCCACACTGACATCATACGACAGCCAAGAGTGGATGTAATTTTGCGATCCAGACATTCAGTATTCCTTCACATGATCTGATAGCTGCATCAATCTTCCTTTTCGAATGATTTGGTAGCTGCATCTACAAGGATCTCAACGCAGTGTCCACCTCTTTCCCTTTAGTGAAGACATACTCTTTCCCTTTGGTGAGGAGTGTATACCATTTTACTGAGCAATGGATACCGTGCTAGCTGTGTTGACTCAGCCCAACATTGCAAAGCTGTAGACGAGCCAAAGCCTGGACAACGTCTTCTTATTGTGGCTCTTGCTTCTCCTAGTGAGTAAGACTAATGCGCCAATTGTGAACGCGTCTTGTTTCCTGATGTTTGCAGTCCCTCCAGAAAATTGATATTTTTGGGACATTGTTTGCATTGGTAATATTCTAGCCTTTATGATTGACCTCGGCGACGGCATTCCATATTGTAGAGTATCTCTGTCTTTTGGTTTGGCTTTCTTGCGAGTCAAGGAATGAAGGGTCTTGTTGACTATCGTCAATGATGTCGTCAAGATGATCTTCAAAATCCGAACCAGTGTCGCTGGTGTTGGCTTGCTGTCCAATGTTGTCAATGTAACCTCAGCGAGCGCTCTTCCTACTCCATCATCTGTATTACTTCCTCTTCCTACTTCATCATCTTTATTGCTTCCTCTTCCTACCTCATCATCTGTATTGCTTCTTCTCTTTCTCTGCGACGTATTTTCTTTGGCTGGAACAATAGGTCTGCGATTTTTCCGATTAAGCGTCTCTAGATCGATGACACTGGAAGTCACCGAAGCTAGGCCCTTGGAAATGGTAAACGATTTGTAGGATTCCCAGGAGCATCCGAGAGATCAGAATTCTTGCCAGACTTATGTGTATTGGTCATTTTGAGGTTGTAGGCGGGGGGGAGGAAATCAATGTGCGGAGGAGTTGAAATTTCGAAAGGACGGGGGCACAGGGTTGACCCGATAGACCGTGATTATATCCTGCATGTTTGCTATGCATGGTATGCACAACGATAATATTCGTTGCTTTGGTGGACAAGAGGTAGACCATTTATGAGATGTGGTCATGGAGTTAAACCTTGGGTGCAGAAGAACCATAATCCAGGGCTTCTACAATCTCACGCCCGCAGGTGCCCGAGTTGGGGCAGCCATGTCCGTATGGACGTTCTTGTGACCGGCCTCAGCTATCTCGCCGTACACGAAGCTGCTCATGAGTGCGCCTGTATCCTTCCTCAACAACGGGACCGAGGGCTGCATCTCGCGCTCGTATATGCCTCTCTCTTGCCACGACCACAGGTACTGCTGCGGCCACTTCCATCTTCTTCTTATGCTCCCGCAGAACTCCTCGAACTCTCTTCCATGAACGCACGCGCATCTATGAGCTCCTTCTTGTTCAAGGCCTTCTTCTTCCTCAACACGTCGAAGATCTTCGCCTGCCTGCCCCGATCATGTCCGCGTGCATGTCCTTGTAGCCGGCGACGCTGTTAGATAATATTTCGTTATGCTATCGAGTATAATGCAGTTCTGGCTCACGGCCTTGTTGTCGGGGTCGATCAACCGACCGATCATACTCGTCTTCCCGATCATGGTCAAGCTGACGTTGCGGTATTCTTCACGTCTGGTACTCTTCACGTCTGGTACTCTTCACATCCGGTAATCTTCACATCCGGCTCCTCGTTTGCCTTGAACTTCTCGATGTCCTCGGCGAACAGGTTCAGAGCGACTTCCTCCTGCCCGACGTCGTTTCCACTCGTGTCCTCCTGCACACGCATGATCGGAGATGTTCACAGCCATGATCAACTTCCTGTAGTCAATGAGAAGACGCTTGAGTACTTTGTCGACTAGTGATGTCACCATGAGCCAGATCCACCTCGGCTTAATGATCGACAACATGAGATCTGTCGGGTATTCCAACTACTCAAAGAACGCGTGCCCGTTGCCGAAGACGTATTTGTACGCCGTTAAGTACACCTTCATCTCGGCGTCGGTGAGGTTGCCGGTGTCATTAGTAGAGGGGCTGGCATGACCGTAATGATCCTTTCGTGGGTTGACAGGCGCTATACCTATATGTATAATTTCAAGTTTAAGGTTCGGGCCGATCCGCGCTGACGAAGGGTGTCGGAGGCAGCCTGTCAATGGGGCCACAGGCCCCCTATAATTTCTCCTCTCACAAGAGTTGTGGTGCATACTATCGATTAGCATTCCAGTGGCAATCGGGGAAGGGTCGGGGCTAGGGATTGAGCAGCGTTCCGGGGCCTTGATCGTCAATACGATGCACGGGTTGAGGGGACCTAGAATAGGACGTTGTCGTCTGTCCAGGTCTATGTTGGAGTTATCCGGTCGAGTGGCTTTGAGTCTGTGTTGGCGAAGGAGTTCAAGTTCAGGTCTCCGAACAAGACCAAGGTTTCGCTTATGAGCTTATCTATGACCACGGACTTGGACAAGGGCTTGGTGTTCGCTATTATGTCGTTGGTGACCAAGTAGACGACTGAGCCGACCTGCGGGGGTCCATGCCAGTCCATCTTCTTAAAGTAGAAGACGTTATAGCACTTGATACTGAAGATGTATTTACTCTAGTTCTTAACGACGATACCGATCTTCTTCTCGAAGTTGTTTGCGATCGAGACGGCAAATGTCTTTATGCAGAAAGATGGGCTTGTATCTAGCATATCCATGGCGTTGCTCAAGGACGTCATCGTGGCTGTGCTCTCATTCTCAGTTCTATACGCGAAGGTAGCCACGATGTTCTTCACACCATAGACCGTGTTGATCCAGTAGTATCCGGGCGTTTCCACTACGTAGTCCATGAGCCCCTTCAAGGACTTGGCTAAAGAGTTGAATATAGACCTAAAGATCTTAAGGGAAGCCGAAGCTCGCGAAGTAAACCCCGATCTAAAACAACTACTACGCCATATGGCCTGTCAGGACCATTAACTAAACCAGTCCGTCCAACCCTTGGACTGAACCGATATCGAGCAAACCAACTAGTTCGTCCACCCAAACCACTTGCAGTCCACCAAACCATGCTTATGCTGCTGTCGTCCTAATACGTATCAGCTCTCTCGCCGAGTTGCCTGCCTTCCACCCGACTTGATCACTCCTCGCTTGAATATCCTGCGCTATTCTCCTGGATTGTTGTCCCAATACGTATTAGCTCTCTCGTCGAGTTGCCCGCTAATCACTCCTCGCTTGAACTCTTCGCGTCCTTTGACGTGACGAAGGGGACACAAGTGTGTAGTACCATATCGCCCATAACCCTTCTATTGGTGACCTTTAATGATGCAGATCGATGTAAGTACCATTTACATGTCGTCGTCTTGTATTTTCCTAAGTGAATGGTATCGTTGACGCGTCTTTAATTAATGTTACTGTACCTTCGCGCGTTGCCCACCTCCCACCTAGATTGAGAAATCCTTGCATATATCGTCTTATAATTTGCTTAGCGAAAGGTGTCGTTGACGTGTCTTTAATAACATTACCTATACGCCCCTCGCCTATATCTAGATATACTTTAAGTTTAAGGTTCGGGCCAACCCGTTATGACTCAGGGTGCCGTAGGCAGCCTGCCTAGGGGGCTGAAGGCCACCTGCATTGCGGCCATTAATAACGTCCTATTGTACATAGTCCTATAATTCTGTTGTAGCCGTACCTATATTGCGGTTTTAATAACAAGCTATTGTACGCAGTTCTCTAACCTCTTTTAGCTTAGATATCAGAAATAATAAATCTTAGTAATTTTAGATAAGAGGGAGCGACTCCTATAGCCTTATAAAAGCGTAACTTTATCTTAGTGCACTAGTTCTTAATATTAGTATGCAGTCGAGATCTTATTAAATTGTATATAGCTTAGGGTTAGAATTAGGTAGTAGTTTTGCAGGTAAAATAGGCAGGCTTAGCGTATATAATATTAACTAGCGGCTAATTAGCTACTAGCAGAGGAATATAAATTACGCTATATCCCAACTACTAAGGCTTTAATTAATATAATTAAATATGCGTTTTAAAGCTTTAATTAAGTGTATTTTAACAAGCCTTTAACTATATAAATTGGACTACTATTAAGCTTATAAACTAATATACTAGTTTATTATATAGTAGGGCCTCTATATAGCGAAAATTTAGCTTATATATTATTAACTACTTGCTAATTAGCTATTATAAAAAGGTTGTAAACTAAATTATATTTTAATAACTAGGGCTTTAATTAATATAATTAAAGATTTATTTTAAAGCCCTAATTAAATATATTCTAATAAGTTTTTAATTATATAAATTAGACTATTATTAAGTTTATAAACTAATATACTAGTTTATTATATAGTAAGGCCTCTACGCAACCTTTGTAGCTTAGTATATATAATATTAACTATCTATTAATTAGCTGCCTATAGAAATATTTCTTTATATTTTAATAACTATATTTTAAATAAAAATAAACGCTTATTTCTAAGCTCTTAATAGGTAGAAATAAGTAAAACTTTAACTAATCTAATACTTTTTTTTTTTTTTATACTAATTTAGTATATATATTAAATATAGTTAATATATAAATATAAAAACTTTAAAGTTATTTTAATTTTTGAAGTTTTTAAAAGTTTTAATATAGCTAGATAGGTAAGTATCTAAGTACTTACTATAATATTAATTAGATTTAGCTTTACTTAAGTTAGTAATATTAATAGTTAATTTAAAAAAGCAATAGTAATTTATAGCTAAAAAGGATATTATTATAATAAGAAACCTATTTAGTTAATTTTCTATTATTATTTGCTATAGCTAATAGTACCTTCTTCTTGCTTATTTATTTATTTATTCTAGTTTTATACTTATTACTTATTTTATTTAACTTTTCTCCTAGTAATATAAAGGATTTATCCTTATTTTATATTTTTATAATACTATTGCCTTTGTCTTTAAGCTTTTCTTAAATTATATTAAATATATTTCTAAACTTTTATAAAGTCTACTTTTTTTTTAAATATATAAATAATACTTATTCTCTTTTAACCTTTATATCCTTTACCTCTATACTATTTTTTAATTTATATACTTAATTATCTAAATATATATAAATTTACTATAAAAATAATCTAGAGATAAAAGGTTTTAAAAGAAAACTAAAAGTAATTAGAGAAATATTATATAAGCAAAAGATAGTCTAGTAATACTTATAATATAAATTGTATAAAATTTTTATAGCAACTATATAAAAATAATAAGATTATATAGAATAAGAATTAAAAATTATAAGTAGATTAGCTTAAGCTAATATTTTTATTATAAATATAAAAATAATATTTAATAATTATAAAAAAGCGACTTTTTCTATAGGATAAAAAAGCTATTAAAGGTTTATTAAAAAGTATATTATATACTTAAAGTTTACTTTTATAATTAGATAAATTAGCTATATTACTATCTATAATAAAAAATTCTAGAAATTAGTTTTTATTTTTAGTCTTTTAACTTATACTTAGCTTATAATATTAGTAAAATAACTAGTTTAAGCTACTAGCTAGTTTAGATATAATAAATGCTATAAAATAGCTTATATAGAGGTTTTTTTATTAAAACTTATAATTAAAATATATATTTTAACTTTTAGTTTTTTTATTTATATACTTACTATTTTTATAATATTCTTAAAAATAGGTTATTTACTAATCTTAATAAAAACTTTAAAAGCTAATTATACCTGCTACTAGCGCAAATATTATACATATAAAAAGCTAGGCAATACTACTCCTATTCTATATCCTATATCCCTAAGTAGGCTAAATATTAACTATAACTTTATATATATATTATATATATATTTAAATAATTATAAGTACTAGACTATATAATATAATACTACTATAGCTAATATAAGTAGCTAAAT